GAGGAACAACTGGTAAAACTTTTTCCTACAGTGTAGGTTGCCTCTTAGCTCTGTTGGTGGTTTCTCTTTCGGTGCAGAAGCTTTTTTAAAATTTATTTATTTTGGTACCAGGGATCAAACTCGGGACCTTCCACTTGCAAGGCAGGTGGCAGAACCACTGAACTAAATCCCCAGCCCCAGAGGCTTTTTAATAAGATGAGATCCCAGTTGTTGATTCTTTGTGCTAGTTCCAGTGCTACTGAGGATTTGTTCATGAAGTCTTTTCCTATGCCAATGTCTTCGAAAGTTCTACTAACATCTTTCAGAAAGTTTAGTGTTTCTGTTTTAATATTTAGATCTTTAATCCATTTCAATTTTAATTTAGTGCATGGTGAAAGATAGGGGTCTAGTTTTAATCTAGGTTGAAATGCAGTCTTTCCAACACCATTTACTGAAGAGGCTATCTTTCCTAAAGTGAGGATAGTTGGCTCCTTTATCAAAGATGAGGTAGCTGAGTATGTCTGTGCATGAAAGATTATGGACAAGGAGGTTAGAGGGAATGTCCAACGACCTAGCTTCACTCAGCTACTTTTAAATGCTGTAAAGTTCATTGTATCAGCAGTAGATCTGCTGTTTATATCAGTTTAATCACTAATGTTCTTTGAACTGCTCTGTAGAGACCTCATACTTCATAAAGGTAGCTGAGATTGCAGCATTTATTATAACATACTCACCATGAAGAATTCTCACTTTACACATTCTGTTAAAATGACTAGGGAAGGTCTGTCCCATATATCTCAAAATCTCCTGAGAAATAATCTGCATTTAGAGCAGAATATGGAGTGTAGCTTCCCTATAAGCGTAAATCTCATAAACAGATGAAAGACCACTAATCTTGAAATATTTCATTTTTAAGTATAAGTGCAAAAAAGAGTTGGTGTAGCAAGACTGTAACTTGTCTCTACTGGAAGATTTAGTTAAAGATTGGCCCTGGATTAACATCTGGGAACTTGACTGATGAACAGTTCCCTACAATGGTGGAAAACTTCCCATAAATTTTAAGAGTGGTTCACTGTACCTAAACTGTACAAACAATGTAATTTATACTTGTGTTAGCTTTTTATCACTATAACAAATACTCGAAATAACGAACTTATAAAGAGAAAAGGCCTAATTTAGCTGATAGTGTGGTGTTTTGGTCCATGATCATTTGCCACTAATGTCTTGCAGGCCCCCTTGAAACAGTATGTCATGGGCATGAACGTGCAGCAAGGGTTCCCACCATTCTTCTCAAGGGCATACACCCAGGGTCCTAAAGACCTCCCACTAGTCCTCACTTCTTAAAGTTTCTAGAACTTCCCAATAACTCCTGCCTCGACACTGAGAAAGTCTTTAACATAAGGGCCTTTGGGGGGCATTTGAGATTCAAGCTATAGCAAAAATGAACACCTGATTTCTTTCTGAGAATCTGAATTTCTAGTAAGTTTTGACATTTATACAGGCACAAGGTTTTTATACATATATGACCACCCTTGATTTAAAAAAGTCCTAGAGCATTCCTGGTGAACACCATTTCATATATTATAACTCCTTGCTGGGAGGATTAAATGTATTCTGTGCAACTCCAGTGGGAAAAGACTCTGAGAAGACTGTGCTTAATTTTGTCCAGACTTTACCTTGAGTGTCTTTTCCCTTTGCCTGTTTTGCTTTGTATTCTTTTGTTGAAATAAATGATAGCCATGAGTACAACTATATGCTATATTTTGTGAGTTCTCCTAATAGGTCAGAAAATTTGGGAGTTAGTCTTGGGAATACTTGACACACTCTATCTGTGAATGAGCTTAAAACTAGAATATTC